TCCATCCATCCATCCATCCATCCATCCATCCATCCATCCATCCATCCATCCATCCGTCCGTCCATCCGTCTATCTATCCTTCCATCCATCTTCCCCTTTCCAGATCACAGTGAAATGGTGCCTATCTCCACCACAGGGACACATAAAAGCAAAAAAGACAAACAACCACTCATATTCTCACTCAAACCTAATAACAGTTTAGAGTTAGGAATGAACCTAACGTGCATGTTTTTAGTCTGCGGGAGGAAACCAGAGTACCTGTAGAAATGCCTGCACTGGAAGAACATATAAACTCAGTAGAGAAACAGCTCTAACCACTGCTCTGCTGTGCCACCAATCATCTCTAACTCATAATCATCTACAGTAATGTATAAAATATGGCAGGGAAAGTTTAGTGTAACTTTGGCTTGCAAGGACCAGTTTTTTTTTCTTATCACTCATCGACTGTTAATGTAGCCTGCAATACTAAAGTAAAAGGCTGCCGACCGGCGATAGGTCAAACTGGTCAAACAGGTGGTATCTGCTCTCAGTCTTAGCTACCCACTTCTGTTTGAGTCTACAGCAGCACTGACCTCTTTGGCGATGTAGAAGTTGAGGACCACCATGCTGAAGTTGTAGACTATGAGGGTCCTTCTGAGAGTGTAGGGCTGGCGCTCCTGCATATATTTAGGCCCCACCCACAGGAAGATCAAGTACAGGCAGCTGATGGCCAGGGTGGGAAAGGGGGATGACATCATCGGCCAGTTCTCCACCCTTTTGTCTGGGGGGGTTAAAGGTTGTTGTCAGGGTTGATGGTGAAAAAAATTTCACTGATTACATTTGGTAATTCACGCCAGTTTTCTCTCATGTGAATTAATAACATCTGGTCCTTTACTTGTAATAATTGTTTTCGCATATTTGCTTTTTGTGAAAAAAAATTGCTGTTGGCTTTTGGTTTAGTCAGTTATTTTTTTTTACTCATATTGATCTTTGTGAAAGAGAAGTTCAGTAACATTAATCTCATTTGAACGTCTAACATCTGTTCCTGTAGCAAAGAAAATAAAGAAAACCATTTTGAATCATTGGAAGCATTAAAGAAAAATTGTTTTTGTGTGCAGTGAATGCTGATTTGAGTGGCTTAAACAAGACAACTCAGCTTACCTGCTATAGTAAGGCTCCATTTGTAAAACTCTACAGTGTCATTCGCAAGGTGTGTTACGACCTCCATGACTCTCCCTGTGGTCTTGATTATACTGTGGTGAGGAGAGAAAAAGTACTAAAGTCAATGAGAGACAGACAAATTAAATTAGTGGCCAAGCACACCCTGTTAGAGTGACTATTAGCTACAGAGGGCTGTACTTCACTAGTCGGGGTGCAGTGAATGTGTTTGTTTTAGTGCATCTTGGGATCAGAAAAATATGACATCCATCAAACCCACTTGGTGCAACTCAGAATATGAATATTTTTCTCTGTTTATAGAAAAAAAGCTCCATCTGTACAGTTTTAACACAAATGCTGTATGCCCATACTTTGCTTGGTGGGAAAAACCTCCACATAACAACATATCAAAAATATTTTAAAAATACATTTTTAGCTTGGTTAATAGTTTTTCCATAATAATTGCCAATTTTTTATACAATTTACAATTTCCTCTCAGTTATATGCCATTTTAGCTCATGATTAAAGTTCTAATGGTGACATCATCAAGGTGAACTGAGACAAACAAACAGAAAATAATAAAATTAGTTCCACTTTTGTATTAATTTCTAAGGTATAAACTGAAAGGGGGTTTGTGTATAAAAGGCTGTTATGTTGTTTATTTGAAAGCTAAGTATTTCAAGTCTACCGGGTTAAAAAAAYGTTTAAAAAATCAGTTTATCCACCAGAAACTTTGTTTTCGTGTGGATGAGTGGTGCTAAAACCACTGAGTATCTTTTTTAAAAAATAAATAGTAAGTGAGGCCTAAAAGTTTAAACTCATTGCATGTGTCAACTGCAGTTTAAACACCCCCTAAAGGTACACGCTTTATTCATTTGAGTAAAACTTCCAAACATGTTTAATGGAGCTGTGTTTGGCTCAAGTTAACAAGTGAGAAACATGAGCAAGGAAAAAAACAAGCTGCACACATTTGTAAGTTTCAGACCATTGTTTTCAGGTGTTCACACACTTCTTACCTTTCTACTATTTGTTCAAATTATATTTTTTCTGATTTGTAGCAGTAAAGCTCATGTACTACCACGATTGTGCACAGAGGAGTAGGCAAGACTTAAAGCCCCTCGTGTGCAGACTCTGGTTCCAAAAATACAACTCAGYAGCGCTTATAAAACAGGTCCCGCTGATTTTAACTCCCAACCATAAAAGGCGGGGACGCCTGGTCTATAACAGTGTTTCCCAAAGTTGGGGTCGGGACCCAAAGTGGGGTCCTGAAACATCAAGATGGGGTCCTGAAAAGATTTTCTGAATTAATTACATTTTTTGCCTTAGTTGTTACAAATGAGTGAAGTTAGTATATTTAAAATGGATAAATGTAGTACAAAAATATTGTTACTGTGCCCTTGTTTTGTTGACCTGATGCAAATGTTTACCATCCAAAAATAGTTGGGGGCACAGGTCTCTGCTGCTGTTTTGTACTATTTTGTGGGTCAAAAGCTAAAAAGTTTTGGAACCACTGCACTTTGGTTCCCAAAGTTGGGCTTGGGACCCAATTATGGGTCATGAAGCACTTTGGATAATCTCCAGAAATCAATTTAAAGTGTAATAAAATAATTGCTGATGTAATATTTTCCCTATAATTATTACAAAAACACAAAATAAGTAAAAATAAGTATTTATATTTGTGTATAAGCTGTTTAGATTGTCAAAAAGCCWGTGTTTTTTAGGGTTATCAATGAAGTTCGTGTACTCAGACCASTAATATTTGGGGTCACAAGTTTTTGCCATGAATATTTTGTGGGTCAGAAGACAAAAAGTTGGGGAACCACTGCTCTATAACATGTGCGGTCTATGTGTGGAGCAGGAAATGGATGACTAGACCAGAGGTTCCCAAACTTTGTTGTTTCTTGACCCACAAAACGATGACAGCTGAGAGCTGCGACCCCATCAAAAAATACAAAGGCTGTTAAGAAGTCACTTAAAATAAAGAATTATCTATTTATGAGAACTATTTACAAATGATTGGAAAAAAGACTATTATCTTTAAATTTTATTTATTTACTGAAGACTCACCCTGACTTTAAGAACCCCAGGCTGATAAAACCTTTCTCAGCACAGTTCCAATCAAATTTGAAGCTGAATCTGCTCCAGTCTGCATTTTATTAGTAGCAGTTCATATTAAAGGAAAGCGTTTCTACTTCACTCGTCATAAGATAGATGCATAATATAAATTGACACCTAATTAGACTGTGTTACATAACAAACAACTCTTATCCACCCCAGAGCTGAGAGCTTTTGTCTTCATATTAATCTATTATTAATCCACTGAGTCAGATCAGCTGTCCTTTAAATAATTAAGTGCTCACTATACACTAACGTTTGTCCGCCGGTGATGAGAAAGAGCCTTAATGTTGCACACATGGGTGTGTGTGTGTGTGACAAATAAAGGGTGGACATTCTTTGCACAGTTTTATCTGATGACATCCACCAGGTCTGTGGGTTTAGTTTAGCTTAGCTGCAGGTCAGAGGGGGTTAACCGGGTCTGTCTGTGAACAAAAAAGACCGGGGCGCATGTGTCAGCAGGTTTCGCCCAAGAGGCTTAAATTCAATTGATCAACCAGCTTAGATGGAGGCCCAAGAACAAATGGCCAAGCCTCTTTCTTTGAATATCTGCCACAAAGGACAATCAAATTTATTATGGAGACATTTAAGGTTTAAACAGGAAAACTACCCCAACATGGCACTTTTATTTGGACTCATGTTTTAATATCACTTGGGAGAAATTTTCCACGAACGTGTTTATGGCTGATAGCATTTACAACTGTTTTATACTGGGAGTTTTCACTGAGAAGACTGATACATGGCTGGTTCAGATTAACAGGTGGTTGTCTGAGAGATGAAGAGAATTAAAATAAACAACAAGCAACAGAAACTAATTAAAACCAGAAGATGCCTCCATAAGGCATACAATATCTAATAATGATTACACCCAATTAACCCCTCTAATTATGAGTTCACAAGGTTTAGGCCCCTATGACTAAAATTATAAACAAATTTTAGCAAACTAAATTTAAAAATACTGTTTAAATAATAACAAAAAAGCAATTACTTACGTCCTTGATATTTAAAAACGTATAATGACATCCGGTGTAATTTGATGCTTTATCCACTTCAGTTTTCTTCTTTTGTTTCTTGCGTTGCAGCTAATCAGTTTCCGGTTTACAGTTCCACATTGAATATCAGATTTATTTATTTATTCTTTTATCTACTTTATTTTTTTTGGCAAGAAACTACACAAGGCAAGGAAAAAAATATATATAGCTAAGACCGGTCTGTTATAGCTACATGAGGTCCCCGCCGGCCGCTCAGCCTCATCCTCCTCCTCCAACAAGCTCCTGAACCAGAGAACCGACAGCTGTGCGCATGCGCGGATGGACTCGTCTCGTGTGACAGACAAAGCTCAGCTCATGGCTCTCTGAGGCAATTAGCCTACTTTCCTCTGTTCATCTTCGGCATTCACTGCTTCTGAGGCCATTTAAATAAYCAGTTCCCCCTAAAACCAGACTGTTATTTATTTACTTTTGTAGCTAATGTTTGCATTTTGATTTTTAGAAAGTCATAGAAATAGTGAACTCCAGGGCACAGACACTTGCAAGGCCCTGACTTGTTCAGGTGGGCTTAAGAATAGCTGCTAGGGCTAACACACCACACAAAACACAAAACAGGCTATATAATTGTTTTGATTTTTTAGATATTTAATGAGGTAGTATTGAGATAGTTTAAGTCTGAAATATTATGCACTATGGTATTTTTTAAAATTTGACCATTCTGCTTTATTTGTCAATACAAACAAGATTAAAACTTATGCATAAAGACAATATGAGTGATTTCTTCAATTAATACTTGGCTTGTAACTGATACTGTTTGTGGTTGTGTTACATTTTTAAAACACTGTATAGATAAAATTTCATGTTTTTAAATAATTGTTTTTTTTATATATAAATCTTGGATAATGCCTTTGCAATTTTCAGCTAAGATCAGATCCCTTCCTGGTTTCTGGTGGGCTCTTGAAGCTGATTAAAAACACCACCCTGGTTTTGCCACTAGATGGTGCTGTCGGCCTAACATTGAATCCTCATTACGTCGTTTGCCTCAGTCTGTTTGCATGTGTGTGCACTTTGTTCAGTGGACTCAACTCATACTAGCAACTACAGAATAAAACATATCTTTGCTTGGTAAACACTTTTGGAAACACTCAAGATGTGCACACTATATTTAATGATAAGAAGGACATTTCTTCCACTAAACTTAACATTAATGATGACTTACAAGACTTAAATAGTGTTTTCTTTAAATAGTGCTTGGAACAATTTCGTGTCTTCAGACACCATTTATACCACTTATACCTTCACGGTTCATTTCATGCCTGCAGCTGAATTGTAATTGTGGTCTTTTCAGCTTTTAGCTCGGGCAACAGGAAGCCTATTTTTTTATTAAATTGTTCAAACTATGTGAGAAAATGTGAGTAATGTGCTAAGTTTTCATGTTATCCAATTCAGTTTTGGTTTAAAATGAGTAGGAATTTGTTTAAAAACTGTCTCATAAGAAGGTGAAAGACATAAACAAAGCTTTACCAAAGTCACATGCACGATTTGTTCTTTCTTTAATTATTATTTTTGCAACGACAGGCTCACACTCATGCAAGCAGTCCGTCTTTGGCAACTCCTTTTTGTGGCAAATAAATGGGAAGAAAAAAAAACTGTAACCACACTGGTGCAGCCTGGGAGGTTGGACCGTGTCTTCAGACTGTGGGCTGGACAAAACCGCTCAGTTAGATCAGCTCTGAACAATGCAGGCAGCTTTTAACTCCCAAATAAAAAGGCAGCAAAAAGGTTCAAATGGCATTTTTATTTCAAAACAAAAGTCCTGTTTGAATTTGAGTTTTAGCTCTGTGGTGTGCCAAATTTTGGCTAAATATTGCATTTGATTAAAAAAAATAATTTTTAAATTTACATAATCAGAAAGCAAAATTCATGTACGAATATGCTAAAGTTTATTCAATGGCTTGTTCATGAGATATTTTGCTAACACAGACAGACACCAATGTGTGGTTCTCAGAGTATGTGTTGGGGATGATGCTCAGCTACTACTATAAATAATTGTAGCTCAATATCTGTAAAATTAATTGAGTTGTATACATTTTTATGTTTCCTAAGGTCAGTTGGCTGCCATCTTTAATTGAGTCCATATAACCAACCATAAATAACTTTCTGAGTGCTTCATTAAAATGATCCCAGTCATTCATGAAATATTTGGCTAACATAGTTAACTCCAAAAATGACAAAGATGATAAAACAAGAATTATAATAAATAAATAATAAAATGACCGTTATTGTATTTTTTTGTTTATTGTACAGACAACAATGTACCACAGTGGTTTCATGCAAGTAAAATTTCCTGTTTTCAAATTCCCATTTTCTTTCTCTCTTCATTCCTGTCATGTTTTGTCTTTTACTTCACCCTCACTCAGCTGTACACCCTACTTTCATGGGTCATAGTTAATTCACAACACACAGCTTAATCAGTCTTTATGATATTCATATTTCATTCAACATCGGGTTATTTTCACAAAAAACAAACGTTTCACATTTTCCAACCAATCAAAAAAAAAATGCTAGAGCGCTGCCGTATCTTTTTTTAACCCCCCAAGTCATCCATCAAAGATAAATTACTCTGTGATTTATGGTGGAACAAGCTGTGCTCAAATCAGCAAACAGCCTGCAAGGGAAATTTCCTTCTGCTCTGCACCATCACAGCCAGCAACCTGAGATCAACCCTTTTCCACACATGTCCAGAGCAGGCCGGCTTTAGGGAAACACCACTTTTCCGAAGCATTCCGCCTCGAAAAGGAGACAATTTGTTGTGGGGCTTCTGTAATGGAAATGGACATGACTTCAAAATAAGCAGTGTGAGTTATTTTTTAAACAGTAGCTACAGAGCTATCTTTTGAAAAATAAGGGACTTTTATTGACACGATACAAGAAATTTGTGACTCAAAAGAAAAAACGAGCAATGGTGACCTCACACTGAAACTCAACTCCAAAGTCAATTTGGAATCTCCACTACTGTGTCCATTAGGTCCATGGAGTGGGCTTCTGTGGAAAGGCAATGAACAATTAAGACCTTATGTGTTGGAGAAAAACATTGTTTTTGAAAAGCTGACATCTTGAGTGGGGCTAAGAAGTGACATGCATGACATTACAGTAAAACAACTTGAAACTACAGCTGAAGCGGTATCTCACGGACATGGTTTTTGTGGCTGAAATTGCATCTCATTTATCTCGCACAGGTTCTGTGCACAACCCCATGGCAGAACTATTGTTTTTCAAGGTATATGCCAAGTATTTTGCAATTGGACAAAACTTTGTGGGTGTGTTTATGTGGAAATGTGGGGGAAGTATAATGTTACTGTGCCGGATAATAATGGTTGAAACACTGCAATGCGTAAAATATTATCTTTTGCCATTCTAATTGGATTATTTTGTTGAACTTAATCATTAATTTGAAATCTGTAATTGATTAAACAATCTATTTTTGTTGAATAGCCCTGGGTTTGTGGATGGTGCGATGAAAGGGGCACGTTCCTGCACCATCTGCCAAATGGTGGTGGCCTCTGTGACAAATTAACAAAACAGCGCTTCTCCGTAATTTACAGCAGTGTAAGAGCCATCTATACAAAGGAGCTGAGAACTTAATTCAAAAAACTGCAGCTTTGTTTTGTGATTTGAGTTTCTATGAATWATAGTTTGTTACTGGAGCCATGTTTCCATCCAATTTTAATGTGAAATTTGAGCAAACTTTTAAAATGTCGCAAAAAGAAGAGAGAGGGAAAAAAAGAAGAAATGTGTGACATGTTTCCATATGCTGGCTTTGAGAGAATCAACCAGGCTACGCAAAGTGTAATTACATCAGATGATGACGTTACGCGTGGCTGTAGTAAACAGGAAGTAGAGGTCGCAAACTCGCACATCGGGACAATGGAGAGAAGTTTTCAGGAACGTGTTGCTATCGCTCAAGTCGTAATTGTTCTGTCTTATAATCTAATAACGGCCATGTTTCATGCTGTCTGGAGAGAAAGAAATGCAATTCGTTTCACGTTACAGGAATTGTACATACCTGTTTGTTTTTTATTCTTTAAAGTTATGCAAAGTCACAAAGCGTAATGTGTTGTGTTTGAAAGAGCTTTCTGGATGGGCCTGCCGCACTCACAAACACAATCTTCCTCTTCCGACTCTTTCATCATTCACAACTGTGTTGTTATTTGTGTTTGTGCATGACATGCAGCAGTGGGAGGGCTCACCAGGACGTCTCCCCTCACAGTTTCTCTTCGAGTATAAAATATCCCTGTAGAAAAAAAAGTCTCACTTTCATGTCATCAAGATTGGCTGTCTCACGTCTTAGGAAATATAAACCAGGTTTTACTCAAATTCATTCAAACGCCATCTCATAAAACTTAACATTGCCATCAGTTTTGCATTACAGAGTCATTTGCATTGAATTCTCTAAATTCTTTGAAAGCACAAAAAGCGGCGCCTAGTTATAACGCTTGCATTGCAGCCTGGAGCACTTCCTGCAGAAATTGTTTTACAATTCCACTGGAAACTAGAAATCTACCTAAATGTTGTTAGCTTGTCAGTCCAACCCAAGTCTTTATCAATTTTCCAAACTGAGTTGGCTTAAAAAGCTATCTGCAGCAAGTAAGAGCTCACAATCTGTCCACACAAATCCCCTTAAAACAAATTGTGGATGGAAAACTTATACAGGTGTGGAGAGAACATGCAAATGTTACACAGAAAGTCCTTTACAGCTGACATTTGAACAGTGACCCTTTATAGCAGGGGTTCTCAAGCCATTTGGGTCTGGGGACTCCTTACAAGGGAAAAAAATAATAAAAATAATTCCAAGGACCCCCTCATAAACCTCATGTTGATTCAATAGATAATTTATAGTCATTTCAACCCCTAAATGCCATGGGAATATATATTTTTACTAAGCTTATTATGTTTGTTTTATTAGTTCATTAACAGATTAACATTTTAGTAAAAAAATTTAGAGGACCCCCAAGATACAGTGGGTAAAATAAATATTGAACACGTCAACATTTTTCTCAGAGGTGCTAATGACATGAAATTTTCACCAGATGTTGGTAACAACCCAAGAGATCCATACATACAAAGAAATCAAACCATAAATGTCCAGAAATGAAGTTATTTGTAATAATGTGGAATGGCACAGGGAAATTGAACACACTTACTGAAATTTATCTAATACTTTGTACAAAAGCCTTTGTTGTCAATGATTCGTGGACCTCTTCTATGAA